AACCAGCAAGTTTACGAACTTTTATACAAGCATTGTCGGAAAGTAGGCCTAACATTATAAAATGTAAATTACAGTAAGTTTGTTTGAAAAAATGAAAAAAAGAAGAAAATATTGAAAAAAAGCAGATCAGTATAAAGTAATATATACATATATATATATATATATATATATATATATATATGTGTGTAGATTGCATAATTAAAAAAAAACAATCTTATAAACAAAATAGAGAAAAGGAAAAAACAAGTAAGAAGTATTGGTTAAAAAAAAACTTAAAAAAAAGAGAAATATGTGTTCGCATACTCTATGTAACTATACAAAGTGACATATAAATCCGAACACCCTGTTTAAATGGTTTTATTTTAATAAAAGTTGGTGAATGTATTTATCTTACTGTAAATAACAAGTGAAAAAATGTTCAGCCTTATCAGTTGGACATTCCGGTTTTTATATTGCTTTTTTTTTAATTCACTAACGCTCTAAAAATGAATATTTCAGCCGCAATAAAGAATCAACGTTGGTGGATTTTGGTTCTTGACATCCTTTACGATCGGTTACGATGCCTAGAGTACGGAGACCTGTACGATTTCGTCAACTTAGTGAGTTTGATAGGGGCCGTATAGTGGGACTTCGGGAAGCTGGACTTTCTTTTCGGGCAATTGCAGTTAGAGTGCAAAGAAGTGTAGACACTGTGGTTAGGTGTTGTCAGGCATGTCTTCGAGAAGGCCGTACGCAAAGAGCAAGGGGCACTGGACGCCGCCGTACAACAACAGACCGTGAAGATCGCCGCCTAAGATTATTGGCCTTAAGGGACCGTTTCTCCACTACCAGGTCCATTGCAAATGAATGGTTTGCAGAACACGGAAGACCTGTTGGCATGCGAAGTGTTTACCGACGAATGAGAAGTTTTGGCTTATTTTCATACCGGCCACACTGGGTCCTCCCTTTAACTCGAGAATACCGACGTAATCGCCTTGAGTGGTGCAGACAACGGTCACTCTGGGATCAGGAATGGAACAGTATTGTCTTTAGTGACGAGTCTCGATTTTGTTTAGGCATGCACGATGGTCGTGCCAGGGTTAGAAGGCGACGTGGCGAAAGGAGGAATCCACAGTTTTTTGTTGAAAGACATGTTCATCACACTTTTGGAGTTATGGTTTGGGGTGCTATAGCTTATGGTTCCAGGTCACCTTTAACCTTCATCAGAGGTAACATGAACGCGCAGCGTTATATCCACGAAGTTCTAGAACCCCATCTTTTACCCTATCTTGACACCCTGGCAGATCCAACTTTCCAACTAGATAATGCCCGACCACATGTTGCAAGAGTCACAATACACTTCTTTCAACATAATGATGTCACATTGTTACCATGGCCACCAAGATCTCCCGACTTATCCCCAATTGAGCACGTGTGGGATATGATGGGTAGGAGATTGCTCAATTTACAACGTCCTCCTCAGACTCTAGAAGCTCTTCGAGAGGAGTTGGTGGTTGCCTGGAATGAGATACCACAGGAGGACATTGACCACCTGATCAGAAGCATGCCTAGGCGCGTTGGAGAATGCGTAGCACATCAGGGTGCATCCACACATTATTAAAGGTCAAAGGGCTTTAAATCAGTGCAATCATTTTGAAATTTTTATCATTTACTTAATATGATTCATTAAGTACTTATACAAAATTTTATTAAGATAAAACCATGTAAACTGGGTGTTCGGATTATATGTCACTTAGTATATAATAGAAATATTATACAATAGTAATACTAAGTAATGGATGTTCTATTTTCTATTAATGCATAGCATTATACTGAACATAAGGATCTGGCCAGTGCCAATAACAGAACAGAAAAAAAAGAGCTACCACGTTTCTGAGGTTAGGGCCGATCCGAAAATTTGGCAAAGGTGATTTGATCATCATCATATTTGCCTTAATTAGGATGGATCCATATTTGAATACCTTTAGGGCAATTTTCATATGTCATTTTGTCTATAGCCTTTACAAGAGCTTCAGCGCCTCTAGGGCTTCAAGATACTACTAATAGCAATGTGGAATCAATGATTGCTCATCAGTCTATACTGCATGATTCAAAAAACAAAAGCAATATTTCTAGAGCAGAGAAAAATAACAAGTAAAAATATCTTATGTTATATGTATGTTCTCAAATGCCGCTTTACCAAGATAGCAGGGTGCAAATTTCTGACTGTTAATAATGCTGACGTGAATTGGCATTACCTTTTCAATATACCTTATGCATCATCTTGGTCATAAGTCAGTTTAGTGTTTTTTTGAAGTACATCAAAGTTAAGTGTATTATAGAGAATTTTTAGTATCCTGCCGTTAAAGTATCACCGTCTGTACACAATGTAAAATAATTTGACACGTTCCTGGAAAAATGCACAACTTTATACTAATGTGAATACTCAGACTTTAGATTAGTAAGCTTTTGAAAAATTTGGCAAACGGTATAATTTAAACCTATCAAAATTTTCATTGTTAGAAGAACAGGTGTGTGAATTGAAACATCGTGATAATTTAAACGTTATAATTATCTAATTTTCAAAACAGAGATCACAAGTAAGGAACAAATGTGAAATAAAATAATACTCTAACAAAATAACTCAAAATATACGTACAAATAAAAAGTTTCGTTTATTAAACTAAAACATAGAAATCTCCGATTGATAATACAGAAAATTATACTTACGGCTAACTGAGAGTATTTGTTTAGGAATGAAGTCGAAATTTTCCCCTTCTGTATAGTTTTATTGCTGATGTCACGTTTTCCTCGCTCCATTTTCCATATTTTGCACCCTTGCGAAGCGTGACTGGAAAATAATACACAAATTTGTTAAATTGTACTGGTAGAATTTAGCCAACCAACTGGTGGTACAATTTACTGTACTGGTATAGTATGAATGTCACAAATTGTTTCATTTCTTTTTAAAAGTGTGGTTAATTCAAACTTCACTCGCTAGAGATTTCATAAAATAATCAATAATCATGATAAACGCTACCCCAACTAGCAGAAAGCGATTACTTGACATAAAGGCTTATCTAAGATTGTAAAACACTTACGTAAACAATTTTTGACAAATGAGCAGATATGAAGATTCTCCAGCGATAGTCTGTTGCAAGTGTTTGTCAGGCACGTTTTGACGCAGGGGGCATCAAACAAGCTAAATAGATGACTTTAGAAATCTACAGCTCAGAAGATATTGAAGTGGTACAACTTAAAACCCGGTACAACTTACCCGACATTCCGCTATGCTTCCAGAGATTTTTTGAGAAATACTAATGTATGTAAACTTGAGTACTTCATTAACGAATGCATTGGAAAAATGGAAAATATTGAGAGGATTGAAAATACAATGTCTGAGTATTTGCTTAATTTTTTCTCAGAATTCCGCAGAATTCAGTTTCCGGTGGTTGCCAAAAACAAGATATTTAAATGCTTCAATAAAAGCAAGAAATTCTATTCTTACAAGCTCATACATAAAACCTAAATTCTTTTGTATTATTATACATTTCTTTTTCCTCATTCTGGAGCAAAATAAAGGATTGCCAGTATTTTCTGAACGCCATGCGCCACCGAAAATAAACCGCTCTCGGTAGCTGGTGCGGTTTACTTCGCCTCCTATAAATTATTCCATACATTTTATATCCGCTGACAAAATACACTGAGCAAAGTTGTATTTCCTTTATTGTCGATATATGAGACGGCGAAGAGGAGCGACGCTTGGCCGCCTGGCGGTATTTTCGTCCGCGGAAAACCATAAAACTCGAATAAAATAAGAATATGACCGCCATAAAACTCAGGTGTATTTTAAAGAATGCTCTCCTCTCGTGCTTCACTGAGAATTTCCCGCAAATAATAAAAACAAAGATGGCTTTGATGTGACCGTCGCTGCGGTAGTATGGTTTTATGCGAATTGTGTTGTGTCTAGTATCAGCGAGGCTTTATAGCTGAGATGTATTGGTGCATAACTAATCATCGGAAAAAATAAATTAACTCGCTGAATTAACGGATACTTGATTTTACTTTTGAGAAGGCGTCTTGTGAGCAAAGGATGGACGAAGTAATTTATTAGATGCAATTTGGTCGACTTTTGCAAAATGTCTCTCAGACTAAAGAAAACTTATACAATGTGTGCAAGATTGAATCCTAATTCTCATATTAAAGAAATATATACTTCATATTCACACGATTCAGCTACGAAAACCTATTATTCATTTGTGTCCGGGCACAAAAGTGGACGCAAATTCCATCAATCAAAAAGAAGGATTTGTTGCTTACTTGAAGCATGGATCAAACTTGATGCAACCGATTGACGTGACGCCATTACTAAGCATTTGGTTGAAAATAATGCACAAAATTTGGCTTAATAAATTCTTTGAAGACAATTTTTCGAACGGTAGTCAAGTAAGTGGAATATTTAACTGAATGCTTGTTGGAGAATAAGCATTATTTGCATTTTATGACCATTACAGCAATTTAGCATTAATAGGCAGATGAAAAAATAGGCTTTTGTAATTAATCCAAGTGATTTATGACGTCTTTCTTAATTTATTAGGAGAATGAGGGGCCAATTTTCAACAATGCGTATAATTATGTTCTAGTTTGAGAAGCATTACACAAGAAATCGACTATATCCATTATATCCATTACTGAAAAGACGCCTTCTCATTGGTGGAATTTGTGTCCACGCGCTTTTTTGCGCTCCGACTTATTAAAATCAGGCCTAAGAAACATGGTACGAGCCTACAGTTCTAATTCTTATATCATAAGAAAAATACCAGCACAAAAGCAATCAAAAAGTACTGCCGGTGGAATTGAGTGACCAAAGCGACATACCACGGTGATAGAACCTCTGTGACCACGAACGGTAATGAGGTGTAAAGTGCCAACTTATATCACATCTTATTAAAAGGAAATGAATGAGAATATGTTAGATTATTGACTTTGACATTTGAAACCATCAAAAATGCTCCAAAATTATGCCTCAGGAGAAGATTTTGAGAGACATTATTCCTATGGTTTTTGATAGGGCGAATACTAAAATAATAGTCAACTGGTTGACCCAGGGATGCAAAATGCATGTTGTCTATAAGCCTACCCCAAATACCATAGGGTAATTAGGGCACGGACACAGGTACTGGGTGTTCTTGGTCCAGTCTTACACGCGCAGTAGTATACGAAGATAAATCAATCATTAAACGTCTTTGCAATACTCCTCCTCCTTAAAGTCGTTCCTACCTGGTCTTTACTGTGGATTCAACCTTACCCTAACAAATCAATGTGCAAATGTGGATGACGCTTGCTTATTTGAATTAATGAACAATATGTGTGAGAGTTTCAAGACCTAAAAAACATATATTTATATTACATTTTAATAGACACCGTAAGAAAGGACGTTGGTTTAAGGTTGTTCAAGAGTTGTCTGTAGAGGCGACCTGTACGGCAGTTTTTTTGGAGTCTAGCCCTAATAGCACCTTGTTTTAAATACAAATTGTGTCCCATCTTGTTCTTATTGGGATATTGAAAAGCCTCATTTGGCTATTTTTTCGTATAGCTGTTAAGTGCGTTCTTTATTAAACGACGTCGCTTTATCTTAAAACACGAAAAGCAAAAAGACTTTTGAAACACGTCATAACCAGAGATTCACCCTCAACAAAAGTACTGGCATATTGCATCTGAATTTCTCACAGGCCTTTGACAAGCTTTGATATGGAAGCATCTCCTATAAAAAATAAGATAATTCAAACTGTTTTGTTTCCTATTCCTTAATAACTGGAATGGCCTTCTTTGGGTGTAAGATATTCCAAATAGAAATTAACAATTTCCTGTAAACAAGCCTAGGAGCTCGTTTTTTCACATAACCCATAACAACTTCAGCAACTGCCAGGTTTATTTTACTTAAGAACTTTTGAATGATAACCAATTTGGCTTTGAGAAAATATCAGTTATTTTTGCAGGAACACTAAATATATACTTTTCGATTGTTTGATTGATTGATTGAATTTCAAAGACTACATAATATGACAACGGGGAATTTCCAGGCACGTATTTACATGAAATGTCTTTCATCCTTCGACATGCTGAATCTACTTCCTAACAACGTTATGTAACATACTGTATGTATCGCGGAGGAGATGTTCAGCTGGGCGGAACAACGGTGGCTGGCAGTTACGAAACGTAAAATTCAAATTGACTCAACTAATTAAGTCAATATCTGGCTGTCTTCTAGTCCAAAGGCCCCCTTCTTCCTTTTTAACATCCTTTGTTCTCCAACTTGTGTCCTTCCCCACTCTCAGCATTCGTCGACCTGGCAGATATTCTTCTACCTTCACTGGGAAATGAAACTTGTAGAAAAAGTCATCATCCTGCAGCACGCGCACGTCAACTCCCATTCCCATGATTGCGAATTATTTCTGGCGTTTTTGAACTAGTTACATATAATTTGCTGAACTATAATAAGGTCCATACGACAGCTGCTGGATTTACAACCGGATGTTCTAGAGTTGTCGTACATTTAGACACTTAATACGAATCCGCGGTTATCTTCGCTTATTTCATGGGCGGAGGCCGTTAATGTTTACTGCCTTCGAGGAATGGTTCAGGAGGGAGGTTAGGACGTTTGGACGGCACATTGGCACTCTTGCACCATCCGGAAGTTATTGCCCTTACAGGGGCGGATTCATATTTCTCCTGCTGAAGATCAACATAGATAAGTTACCTTTTCCATATATATGTACTCGTGTACAGCAGCTGTAATTACTAGGTCGCTGAGATCATTGACTGTTGAAATTAATTTCGATGTCTGCTTACCGTGAGACATATGACAATGTGCAAAATTATCATGACGGCAAGACGAAACGTTCATTTCGTATTTATTCCGTGACACTTAGACACTTGTACAGTTATAGCCAGCAGCATCCTTGGTGGTGAAACGCATGAAACAAAACCTCGGGGTGCTACAGATAGATAGATGAATGAGATAAAGGAGTGACAGCCCGGTCTACTCCAGAACACCGGTGTAGTCGGCCTGAGTGGTCCCAAATTCAGGTGATTATGGAGATGAGATGGTGGATACTTTGGTCATATCAAGGCCTTGAATACTAAGGTGGTTCGTATGAAAGATATTCAGCTGTCTCTGTCAGACACGAGAATTCATTGTGAGGCATGTCAACAAGGTAGAAGCCATTCGACATAGCTTTTGTTTTTCTTCCTCTTACTGTGCTACTCTTATTTTCGGAGCTTGACGATCAGTAAGGTAATCTTTATTTCTGTTGCTGCGGTGCGAAACACGCAGACATTTTTCAGCCAGGAGTCTCTTCTTCGAGCATGCCCTCCTGTGCCATTTATTTTTCAGTCGCATTTGTTATTACGCATGTTGTACCCCAAATATCTAGTTTTTTCTTTTTGATTGTGTACAAGAGCTATAATTCTTTTCCCATCCCATGCAGTACCTTCTCCTTTGATACCCTATATACATCAATTATATCTGGAGCATACAAGGGTAGGTCCACAATTCAAATATTCTTATGCTTTTACACATCTTATTGGCTAGGGTACATGCCTCTACTTTTTACTTTACTTTTTACAGTTAGAAATATTACATTGCAATATAATTTCCCTAAGCGAACTATTTTCATCTCTGCAGCACTTCATCTCAATAACAGATTTATTTCTGAATCTTGTCTATTCTTCATTTATTATTGTACCTGGACATGTCTATGTTTAAACCTCTCTATGTTCTTTGGATATTTATTTACATTTGTTTGTGAGTTATGTAATTGTTTATGTATTCATGAATTTCATCTAATTTCTAATCGGTATTTTCGGCTGGTTACATATAATCTAGCAGTTTTGACCAGGTATGCATCTTTGTACCTGATATTCTTTAACACTACCAAAAGATTTAAGATCATTGGTACTCGTTATCATGAAACTGGTCTTTATCTAATGGGTCTTATAGTAAAACATTATGCAATGCGTGTTATCCATACGTGCCGGAAAATGATGAATTTTGGACAACCTATGTATTCAGCTTCCACGTTCTGAGGCCAGTCCTGGAATTCAATTGACATCGTAAGAAGCGCAAAAATCATAAATCTTTCCTGGAATACTATTTCATCACAAAGATGTTCTGTTGTATATGATTGACTGGAAAATCCAAATGCTGTGCAACAAGAATAAGAGTTAGAGTTAGCTACTGGGTGGCGGTGTTAATCGGCGTTACCTATTTTTAGAGAGCTACTAGCACATTGTCCATTGCGTCTGGTTCTCATACCTTTTCATTTTTTTTTTAATTTCGCTACATTTGATGTTCCACACGCCGTGACCACGTCTGCATCAAAGTTCTCGTTGAGATTAAAATATACAAAAAATTTAATAACAAGTTAATGGAATTTCTCAATGCTAACTTCATAAAATATCTAAAACTTACACCTTAAGCCCACAACTCACGTTGGCCTATTAATTTCAAAGTGCCATAACTTGGGGAAAAGAAAACGGCATTTGAAAGAACAAGGCTTGTTCTTTGAAATCATGTCGATGGTTTTGGAAAAAACACAGGTAAAAATCGCAATATTTACTTTTTAGTTTAAGTTAGGACTAGAGCCTTCAGAGATTTAGATCCCTGATTCAGATTTAGCGCATCAAAAATCTTTTGTAAGTCTTATCCAATTTTTGGGTGATAAGATCGGCTCACTTTTGTAGGTCTGTGTAATGCGCGGGTCCATATAAAGTTATTAGCTTAGCTTTTTAGAAAAAAACAGTCCGAATTTTTTTAAGACGCTTGTTTGTTCGGCTTAATTGCATAAGGGGCATGCAACTACAAAGTCAATAGCTTAAGCTGCGCTACTTAGCTAAGTGTCCGCTTTTCTATCTAAAAAGCCAATTCTCTTGGGAACAACGACATATATTTTAGACGCCAACGGGTCTAGAAGCTCAATACTTCACCGACCCAGTGTTCCGCCTCATGCAAGTCATCACCAGGAAAAGCTCGAGAATTCGGCCGTCATCGCTGTGTAAGTGTATCTCTAGCCTGTGCACACATGTATAAATCTGTGAATGAACTTTGGCAAGGTGTCCTTCCGGGTGTTGACTGTTGGCGGTGCGACTGTCGTGCTCCTGCATCAGGCTTGCACAAGACGCACTGCTCGTCCGCGTTGTTGTTATGAATGAACGTCTTGCTACTTCACGGACGGATTTAGGATTGAAGAGATACCACAGGTCATTGGCGCACAGTTGGCGCTGCTAAGCACAAATAGCCGCCAGTGAAGGGTTTGAGCGAAAGAGGTGTTTTATCATATTCATCTTCTTAGTCTAGCTTATCTGCCTTTGTATTTTATAGTCCAGACAGGAAAGCGATAACCTTACGTATACACATTCGACCTATGATTGTTATCATCAATAGGTTAAGTTACCATGAAGAAAGGTAAGCACATATACTCTTGGTATTATTCCTTTTGAAATGTAGCTGATGACCGATTGTCTGTTGCCGTGACTCCAGGACAATTAGCATCATCTACCTGGTAATCTAAATAGTCATTGATCTCGAATTATTCAACAGATTGTGACCCAATTCAGTCAATCATTAAAGGGTGAATGTACCGATATTCTCCAAGCGTGCATTATTTAGGGTGTAAACGTTGTAGTAGTCATTATTGAAATGGGTAATAGGGGGAGGTCAAAACAAGTCAAATAGTTCATATGACCCATGGTCCAAAAGTCAATAGATTTTTGTCTAGATGGCTTTATAGTTTACAACTTTTAAGTGCTTTATATCGACCACAATCACCACAATCTTACTAATTTTTATATTCTAATCTAAAACGTTTTTAAATTGGGTAATTAACAAATAAATGGCATTAAGTTTTTCTAAGTTAGCCAAAATTTGTAGTCAGTAAGTTTCACTAAATTAAATATTTAAAACACACTTGACAACAGCGCATCGGTCATTATCACTCTTATCGAACCTGCAATCGATCGCAAACGGTAAAAGTGGTTAGTATGTTGTTTTATTTTTGTTCGCGTGCGTCGTCGTCTTGATTTACAATGTTCTCGAATTAAGAGTTCGCCGACATGTTGTTAGTTTACGGTGAAGCTCGTCAGAATTCAAATCTTGCACCTCAAATTTATCGCGACATACTTCGCCAACGGGAACACCCAGACAGAAGGACATTTGTGCAAGTATACCAAAGACTTCGAGATACAGGAAGTGTTCAGCCCACTAATATTCGCACTCGTGAAGACAGGTTACTGTAGAGCAGGAGGAACAAATTTTAAATATCGTGGAAGTCAATGTAAATATCAGCACTCGGGAATTAGGCCGCCACGTAGGACTATCGCATACCATAGTCCATAGAATCCTACGGGAAAATTTGCTTTATCCCTGCGATGTACAACGAGTGCAGGCCTTGTTACCAGAAGACTATCCTCGCAGACTAACATTCTGTCAGTGGTTTTTGCACAAATAATGACTATCAGAACGTTTACACCCTGGATTATGGTTTGTTCCACCGCTTGCTCTTAGATACAAAATGGACATATTTTGCTTATATCCGTAAGAGCTACTCTATTTTATGGTACAGGATTGGGAGAGAACTATTGAAGTTATCTTTTAATGTGTACAAGAGGGACACCGTGTGCGAAGATGGTAGTACACCTTTACAACGAACAAATTCGAATAGATAAGGAGCCTTTGTATTTTACATTGCATTGTTCGTCGCCACAATTGCGTATTTTTAGTGTATACTTTTACTTTATTTAACTACCAAAGTGATGGCATTGTATCAACATAATAATAATACTTGTGAAAAACCTACCTACATTAAGCTTGTGCTGCTCTTTGCAAATTATACTAAGTGACATATAAATCCGAACACCCAGTTTAAATGGTTTTATTTTAATAAAATTTTGTATAACTACTTAATGAAGCACAATAAGTAAATGATAAAAATTTCAAAATGATTGCACTGCTTTAAAGCCCTTTGACCTTTAATAATGTGTGGATGCTCCCTGTTGTGCTACGCATTATCCAACGCGCCTAGGCATGCTTCTGATCAGGTGGTCAATGTCCTCCTGTGGTGTCTCATTCCAGGCAACCACCAACTCCTCTCGAAGTGCTTCTAGAGTCTGAGGAGGACGTTGCAAATTGAGCAATCTCCTACCCATCATATCCCACACGTGCTCAATTGGGGATAAGTCGGGAGATCTTGGTGGCCATGGTAGCAATGTGACATCATTAAGTTGAAAGAAGTCTATTGTGACTCTTGCAACATGTAGTCGGGCATTATCTTGTTGGAAAGTTGGATCTGCCAGGGTGTCAAGATAGGGTAAAAGATGGGGTTCTAGAACTTCGTGGATATAACGCTGCGCGTTCATGTTACCTCTGATGAAGATTAAAGGTGACCTGGAACCATAAGCTATAGCACCCCAAACCATAACTCCAACAGTCTGATGAACATGTCTTTCAACAAAAAACTGTGTATTAGTCCTTTCACCACGTCGCCTTCTAACCCTGGCACGACCATCGTGCATGCCTAAACAAAATAAAATCGAGACTCGTCACGGTCCATTCCTGATCCCAGAGTGACCGTGGTCTGCACCACTCAAGGCGATTACGTCGGTGTTCTCGAGTTAAAGGGAGGACCCAGTGTGGCCGGTATGAAAACAAGCCAAAACTTCTCATTCGTCGGTAAACACTTCGCATGCCAATAGGTCTTCCGTGTTCTGCAAACCATTCATTTGCAATGGACCTGGTAGTGGAGAAACGGTCCCTTAAGGCCAATAATCTTAGGCGGCGATCTTCACGGTCTGTTGTTCTACGGCGGCGTCCAGTGCCCCTTGCTCTTTGCGTACGGCCTTCTCGAAGCCATGCCTGACAACACCTAATTACAGTGTCTACACTTCTTTGCACTCTAACTGCAATTGCCCGAAAAGAAAGTCCAGCTTCCCGAATTCCCACTATACGGCCCCTATCAAACTCACTAAGTTGACGAAATCGTACAGGTCTCCGTACTCTAGGCATCGTAACCGATCGTAAAGGATGTCAAGAACCAAAATCCGCCAACGTTGATTCTTTACTGCGGCTGAAATATTCATTTTTAGAGCGTTAGTGAATTAAAAAAAAGCAGTATAAAAACCGGAATGTCCAACTGATAAGGCTGAAAATTTTTTCACTTATTATTTACAGTAAGATAAATATACTAAGTGACATATAAATCCGAACACCCAGTTTAAAGGGTTTTATTTTAATAAAATTTTGTATAAGTACTTAATGAAGCATAATAAGTAAATGATAAAGATTTCAAAATGATTGCACTGCTTTAAAGCCCTTTGACCTTTAATAATGTGTGGATACACCCTGATGTGCTACGCATTCTCCAACGCGCCTAGGCATGCTTCTGATCAGGTGGTCAATGTCCTCCTGTGGTATCTCATTCCAGGCAACCACCAACTCCTCTCGAAGTGCTTCTAGAGTCTGAGGAGGACGTTGCAAATTGAGCAATCTCCTACCCATCATATTAAACACGTGCTCAATTGGGGATAAGTCCGGAGATCTTGGTGGCCATGGTAACAATGTGACATCATTATGTTGAAAGAAGTCTATTGTGACTCTTGCAACATGTGGCGGGCATTATCTTGTTGGAAAGCTGGATCTGCCAGGGTGTCAAGATAGGGTAAAAGATGGGGTTCTAGAACTTCGTGGATATAACGCTGCACGTTCATGTTACCTCTGATGAAGATTAAAGGTGACCTGGAACCATAAGCTATAGCACCCCAAACCATAACTCCAACAGTGTGATGAACATGTCTTTCAACAAAAAACTGTGGATTCCTCCTTTCACCACGTCGCCTTATAACCCTTACACCGACGTAATCGCCTTGAGTGGTGCAGACAACGGTCACTCTGGGATCAGGAATGGAACAGTATTGTCATTAGTGACGAGTCTCGATTTTGTTTAGGCATGCACGATGGTCGTGCAAGGGTTAGAAGGCGACGTGGTGAAAGGAGGAATCCACAGTTTTTTGTTGAAAGACATGTTCATCACACTGTTGGAGTTATGGTCTGGGGTGCTATAGCTTATGGTTCCAGGTCACCTTTAAATCTTCATCAGAGGTAACATGAACGCTCAGCGTTATATCCAAGAAGTTCTAGAACCCCATCTTTTACCCTATCTTGACACCCTGGCAGATCCAACTTTCCAACAAGATAATGCCCGACCACATGTTGCAAGAGTCACAATAGACTTCTTTCAACATAATGATGTCACATTGTTACCATGGCCACCAAGATCTCCCGACTCATCCCCAATTGAGCACGTGTGGGATATGATGGGTAGGAGATTGTTCAATTTGCAACGTCCTCCTCAGACTCTAGAAGCACTTCGAGAGGAGTTGGTGGTTGCCTGGAATGAGATACCACAGGAGGACATTGACCACCTGATCAGAAGCATGCCTAGGCGCGTTGGAGAATTCGTAGCACATCAGGGTGCATCCACACATTATTAAAGGTCAAAGGGCTTTAAAACAGTGCAATCATTTTGAAATTTTTATCATTTACTTATTATGCTTCATTAAGTACTTATACAAAATTTTATTAAAGTAAAACCATTTAAACTGGGTGTTCGGATTTATATGTCACTTAGTATATGCAGAAACTTTTTTCGAAAGGACATTCTTTAAAACGTCTGCAAATTTGTTGTCGTTTCCTAAATTTGTTGAACTAGAAATGAATAAAAGTAGATATTAGCATCTAAATCATGGAATGCACTATAGTATCTTATGAACACGAATCCACTCTGTTTGACTAGACAATAAAACCTCATGTATTTGAAAGTCTTAATGTAGTAAACATTTCAATGATATTCTTCAGTACAATGACATAAAAATATTATTATTATATATAATTAACATTTCTCAAGGAATGCGTGGGTCCAGGCTGTTATCTAGCAGAAGCACATCCTCATCGAGGGGCATATTATTAATTGATAGCCTGTTCATGTGAAAGCCTCAGACCAAAAAAGACAGCAATCTGAGGCCCTTGAAAACTCTCCTGTCCCTTTTAAGCGACAAGGCATAAGTCGTTCTGAAAATAGAGATAGCGACTAAGGGTTCTATTTTTGAATCATTTTTTGTGCTTTCTAGTTATGAGTTCTGAAGGTATTTGCGAACTCTAGATGTAAAGGTGAACAAATATTATAAGCGCTCTGACACAATCCTTGTCAACTAGTTTTTATTTTATATATTTTACATATTTCTCAGTAAATATTCAATCACAAAAGAAGCATGATATGGATATCTAAATGAGTTTACGATTCAGTTAAATGTTTATCTCAAAATCAATTGTTCTTAAAATCCTCTTAAGATCGCATCAAAATCAAAGCTGATTACAAAATCATCTTGTTCAGTGTATTTTTCAACCCACGCTAAAGACAAGCTTGGTTCCCAGTACACCGCAATCCTCAGTAGCAACTATAGACTCGCTCCATCCTTTTCCCGGCTTTTTCCCTTTATCTCTTCACCTCATTCTTTCACTCGGGGCGAATATAGATGTAATGAATGGCTCTGAAACAAAGTTTTAATTTCGAGTGTATACACGCGACGACAAAGTCGGATTCGTAGGTTTCAAACGAGTCTAAAATAATTATTTCTTCATCCAATTAGTAACACGGAATACAGCAATGCCACAAGATGAAGTTGTTATGTTCGTTGATGGCAAACAGCTTCTCTGTCTTCTGTCTACCTCTTTCTCTATCTACCACTTTGTTCTAGAATGTCCTCAATGGAAGTAATCATTATCTGACGTGTTGGATTGCTGAGCTTAAATTAGTGGAGATGATATCAGTAAAAAGGTGTATTATTCCATGCAAGGATCTACTTTGTTAATGAAATGATAGTTCTAATATATACTAATTGACATATAAATCCGAACACCCAGTTTAAATGGTTTTATTTTAATAAAAGTTGGTGAATGTATTTATCTTACTGTAAATAACAAGTGAAAAAATTTTCAGCCTTATCAGTTGGACATTCCGGTTTTTATACTGCTTTTTTTTAATTCACTAACGCTCTAAAAATGAATATTTCAGCCGCAGTAAAGAATCAACGTTGGCGGATTTTGATTCTTGACATCCTTTACGATCGGTTACGATGCCTAGAGTACGGAGACCTGTACGATTTCGTCAACTTAGTGAGTTTGATAGGGGCCGTATAGTGGGACTTCGGGAAGCTGGACTTTCTTTTCGGGCAATTGCAGTTAGAGTGCAAAGAAGTGTAGACACTGTGGTTAGGTGTTGTCAGGCATGGCTTCGAGAAGGTCGTACGCAAAGAGCAAGGGGCACTGGACGCCGCCGTAGAACAACAGACCGTGAAGATCTCCGCCTAAGATTATTGGCATTAAGGCACCGTTTCTCCACTACCAGGTCCATTGCAAATGAATGGTTTGCAGAACACGGAAGGCCTATTAGCATGCGAAGTGTTTACCGACGAATGAGAAGTTTTGGCTTGTTTTCATACCGGCCACACTGGGTCCTCCCTTTAACTCGAGAACACCGACGTAATCGCCTTGAGTGGTGCAGACAAAGGTCACTGTGGGATTAGGAATGGAACAGTATTGTCTTTAGTGACGAGTCTTGATTTTGTTTAGGCATGCACGATGGTCGTGCCAGGGTTAGAAGGCGACGTGGTGAAAGGAGGAATCCACAGTTTTTTGTTGAAAGACATGTTCATCACACTGTTTATGGGGGTGCTATAGCTTATGGTTCCAGGTCACCTTTAATCTTCATCAGAGGTAACATGAACGCGCAGCGTTATATCCACGAAGTTCTAGAACCCCATCTTTTACCCTATCTTGACACCCTGGCAGATCCAACTTTCCAACAAGATAATGCCCAACCACATGTTGCAACAGTCACAATAGACTTCTTTCAACATAATGATGTCACATTGTTACCATGGCCACCAAGATCTCCCGACTTATCCCCAATTGAGCACGTATGGGATATGATGGGTAGAAGATTGCTCAATTTGCAACGTCCTCCTCAGACTCTAGAAGCACTTCGAGAGGAGTTGGTGGTTGCCTGGAATGAGATACCACAGGAGGACATTGACCACCTGATCAGAAGCATGCCTAGGCGCGTTGGAGAATGCGTAGCACATCAGGGTGCATCCACACATTATTAAAGGTCAAAGGGCTTTATAGCAGTGCAATCATTTTGAAATTTTTATCATTTACTTATTATGCTTCATTAAGTACTTATACAAAATTTTATTAAAATAAAAGGATTTAAACTGGGTGTTCGGATTTATATGCCACTTAGTATATAACCTAACAACTTTTGTTGTATGTAATCTAACATGACGTAGAGAATTAGAGCTTAGGACTGGATACTTCTTCATTGTCTGTCAGAGCGGTCCATAGGTCGGTCGCTCTCGGTTAAAGTACCGCCGGTCAGTAGGCCTATCAGGTCTAGTTGCCCAGGCACCAGTCAAAGTCAGGGAGAAAGAAGGGAAGAAGAGAAGAGAGGAATAACGGAGAGAGCAAAGAGAAGGAAGTGCGTTAGTCGGAGGGGTTCCTTGGCATATCAAATTAATTACTGTCTTTCAGAATCTAGCATGGCGTAGTTGGACACCTCTTTAAATCCTATAGATTTTTTTGTATCAGATCTCTCCATTCTGTATTCGCCATTGTTTGTCAGAGCGGTTCGTAAGACCTTTGCACTTCACACTAGTGTACAGTTACTGGATACTAATTAAAGTCTGTACTTTTTTATTGATTATAATGTCCAGTTTTCGACCCACTTCTAGCAAACAGAACGGTCCCAGAATTGGGATTTTTTGTTAATAGATGTCTTCTCGCTTAACGAAAGTTACGTAGGATAAGTAGGAGAGGAACGAAACTACGATACGATATCCCAGAGAAACTTTTCAGATGGGTGGCTGACTTGCTCTCTGATCGAATGATACCCGTCGCAATTGACGGGTTCTCCTCTTCATCCCACAACCTCAACGCGGGTGTTCCACGGGAATCGGTCTTGGCTCCGGCATTGTGCCTCTTACATATCAACGACCTCCTGCAGTCAACCCGCAGAGCTTTGCTGCTGACAGCGCTATACATGCAGGACTTCAGAGTGACAAGCCGATCTCAGCCAGTGGAGCTGGGGAAAAGAATACTAGCAGCAACTGGAGTTTGTCAGTGCTTGAGGACGCAGCAATCTTGTACAGGGTAATGCTTCCAAAACACAAAACCATACCTTGACAAAGAAGATGCGTCATACCGCTCCTCCTGTTTCAATGGCCGGCCCAGTTCTACCAGAGAACCGGTATTTGTTTAGGGCTAAGAAGTACTTTTTACCGCATGACCTCGTCACTCTGTACAAGTCCCAGATAAGACCTAGCATTCAGTCCTTCTCACATGTTTGGGGTGCTGCCGTCCAGACTGCAGTATCTGTGCTCGATACTGTTCAGAGACTGGGCTGTCCGACTGATCAATAACTCTTCTCTGACGGACGATCTCGGTATCCTTTTGCACCGGGGGGCGTCGACGATCTCTAGCCCTATTCTACCGCTACGCTATCCGGCTTCCGTCCTCAGAGCTTTCCTCCATGATGCCGCTGCACGATGCGCCTGTCAGTCAAACCCGCCTGGCTTCAGCCTACCATCCTAACCGTGTCGAACTTCATACATCCAGAACTGGCCGATACCACCGCTCCTTCCTCCCTAGGGTTTCGAGATTGTGGAACAATCTACATGAGGAGGCTTGAGCAGTTGAGCAATCGGATTAATAAAGCTTCTTGCTCCTTAAGCTAGCAGCGGTGCGCTGGTATGTAGACTTCTGCCTGCGCGGCTGCCTGGGGGTAAAAAAATTTAACGTGTTACGGACCACCCCTTACAATGATGATTGGGTATATTAAAGAACACGTTTTGTCATCTTATTAGCTTATAGTGATTTCCACATGCTTTTCAATGTGAATTCAACAAGTTAAAGATGTCGATTCATCATTATTAACTTTTCCTTCACCCTGTAGAAAATAATAACGATGCAGTACGACCCACATAATTTTGTTCTAAAGTTTATTATGACTCACGCTCCATAACTATAAAACCGAAAACAGAGCACATGCAGATAATTCACTTACATCTGTTTTCAAGCACTCCAAGCACTTTGAGCAGCAGCGGAGTCGTATACCAATAAGAATGAAGTTATTTGAAAAGATCTTAAGCCGGACTAGCCGTAAACAAAAACCACACACTTCGTGCGAGGCATCTGTTTTAAGTTTGGTGTTTTATTACCTGCCATGCCCACGCCTTAATAATATGGAATTATTAGCGGGTATAGCATATTGTTTTCGTTCATTAAAACTGAGTTTTATACCTTCCTTATGTGTTCTTTGTAACGGAGCGGTATGGGGCTTTCCGCAAAGATGGTTGTAATAAATTTTATGTAATGAGGTCTACAAAGTGACGATGAGCTTTCCGCGAGAAAATAAAAGCATTTAACATAATTCAAATGAACGTGTTGTTTGTTGATTGAAACTTCAAGACTTTATCAATGTTCGATCAGTTCCTGTTCATTGAATTGATCTATACGGAAAATAATGTAAGCTTACACATAATTATACTGAAACATGGATGGATGATCTTGAGACGATGTCGGATAACTAAAAGGTGGCATTTGAGTGACAATCGGAGGTAAAGCTTCTTTCCAACCACATATGTACAACTAGTGGCATCAAAATCTATCAGTATTTGAGTCTAATACCGAGCTCTCGAACACGACAGAAATTGTGGAATTATCAGTTTTGTTGACAAATGTGGAAAAATGATGGACAAACGAATGACATTGAATGCCTAGCTAGCTGCTGATGCGTGCCGAAAAAGAAACCTTTGTTACAGACCTGTTAATCGTGATTAATTTACGCTCTCGCTCTAGCTTACGTGGTTCTCTCTCATACACATTGATTGCGGGACATAAATGGCTCACTGCCGATCCTGTATGTATGATAATTTATATATCATTACGCACGTACGAGTAACATGGTGTTTTCAGTCTGCAAAAATCTGAGACACAACCAGTCGTCTTCGTATAGCGCCAGTCAACCTAGCGTCTGCATAAAAGAACAGTTACAACCCGCATTTAATTGAAAATGAGTAATTTGTTTTACGACAGTATTACGTATTATTATGGTGGCAGATAGGCGCCAACATACGCGTTGGCCGGAATTAGCATGACCTAGAAAATCCTGCGGAAATTATATGCCACGGAGTTCGTTCAAATGGACATACAACTCGCCATCGCGTCCGGCGCTATTTTATTCTACTCTGAACTTAATTCTGTTGTGTGCAAACACAAAGGGCTTTCCCGTTTCATTTTAGAGCAGCTAATTTGAGATACGGTGCCTGTGATCAATTTATCTGGGTGTCCCAAGACTACGCAACAGGAGCTGTAACATCACGACGTGGGCCGTAAGCATGCACTTAAACCACTGGATATACGAGTATGTATACTATAACCAATTTTTGATTTAAATTGCATTTCATCCAAGTAAGAAAGTAATCATTAATTTTCGTGTATCATGTGAATAAAGTATAACATTATTATTTGCAGATAAGAATTTAGCAAGTGTACCGAGTATCCCGTACTTAACCTCTATCTAGTGCTGTAGCCTGTAGGCAACATCATCCTTAAACCTCAATTTCTCATCCTCCCTGCTCTAACGGTCTGATTGGGCAGTGTTGCGCGTAAGCTACATTATTCATTAACGGAAATAATATTATGAGCGACCGCTGTTTATAAAAAGTTGAGTCAAAATTTTCAATATTTGTTGCCGCGTAACAGGTGTTTGGTGCACGTATGAATCTGTAGTTGGGATTTTAGTTGCAAATGGTAAGTAATCATTTGTTTTTACGTTCTATTAGCCTTGGCTGGTATAAAAGAAGGTTGAGTCTTTATGTTTATGATTATTTTTAAGCGATAGATCAGAAAATCAGGCAGGAAAATGACTTTGTTTAGTATGTATCTCTCAAGCAACATTTCCAGAATAATTACGTTTTCTCTTTCTTCCGATCTGGATAATTTTCCAACCATAAGCATTACATGTTTTTTCGGCAAAAAGAAGGTACCGACCGTAATTCCCACAGATCCGCATATTTCCGATGTCTCAGACGACGATTTCAGTGACGGAAAAAATATTTCCCAAACAAATGAGCTTAACGATGAAGAAGAAGTGCCTTCAGGACTTGACATGCTGGTTCCAGCAAGTAATTCTGAATTCGAAGAAAGTGACGATGAAACTGCCGCCACCACCACAAAGACGAAAAACTGAATCATATTCTTGGAATGAAGCTGACATAGTTTCTGCTAACATACCTTCACCAGACTTTCCTGAACCTGACAACATTGCAGTTCCCATTGAGTATTTTACAAAGTTTTTTTCATTTGATCTAATGGATAAAATAGTCTATCAGACAAATCTTTATAGTACTCAGCAACTTGGGCAATGTATTGATACAAATCCGTCAGAAATAACGGATTTTCTATCTATACTCTTGATTATGGGTGTAATAAAACTTCCTGCCATAGAAGATTTTTGGGCAGCTAGTACAAGAGTAGATCACGTGGCCAATACAATGCCTCTGAAGAGGTTTCAGAACCTAAGACGGTTTATCCATTAATGATAATACTAACATAACAGACCAGATATTTCAAAATTAGACCCTTATTAGAAATTGTACGCAACAACTGTTATAAACTCCAGTTTCAAAATCAATACTCAATTGATGAAACAATGGTGTCTTACAAAGGCACATATGCGGGCAACTTGAGGCAGTATATCCAAAATAAACCCCCACATTTGCGGGTTTAAATTTTTTATTCGTGCTAGGGTTTCTGGTTATATTGCCGACTTCATACCCTATCAGGGACCTGCGACATTTGAAGTGCTTAGAGGCTCTCCGAATGAGTTAGATGATTATGAAGTAAATCTAGTTGTAGGTGATAGTGCCGCCATTTCTCTGTGCAAAACCCTAAGCGAACCGAAAAACACTGTTATATTCTGTGACAATTGGCTTTCAAGTGTAAAATTATTTATTTATCTGAATGACCGATTCGGAAGACTTAGTTTAGGAACTATAAGGTCAAACAGAATAGCTGGATGTCAACTTGAAACCGATAAAGTGCTTCAAAAAGGGGACGAGGTTCCTACGCAGATACAGACAAAGGTATAATAGCAGTAAAATGGGCTGACAACAAATGTGTTCTATTAGCAAGTACATTCTGTGGCCTAAATCCCGTAAAATAAATAAAAAAATGCCATCCCTTGTCCATCCGTTATAACGCAATACAATAAGCACATGGGCGGTGTCGATAAGGCCAATTCATTACTTGGTCTGTATCGCAGTCCAAGCAGATCGAAAAGATAGTACTTCCCAATTTTCACATGGGTTCTTGATATGTCAGTGATCAACGCCTGGTTTCTGTATAGAAAGGACTGCAACACAGCATGTGTAACGTCAAAACCGCTAAAGGAGTTCCGTATGGAATTAGCCAAATCGTTGACCAACGCAGGAAAACAAAGTTCTCGTGGCAGACCATCCATTTCCGCCACTAATAAAACCCCTGCGAAAATAATATCAAACCCTATACTGCCGAGACCTGATATCACCACCCAAAAAGATGGCATAGGTCATTGTCCAACTTATGGTACAAAAGGTAGATGCAGTCACTGTGCCAATGGATTTACAACAATCTTTTGTACCAAGTGCAATCTTAGGCTTTGTTTTACCCCAAATAAGAATTGTTTCTACCTTTTCCATTCCAATTAGATTTAGCTGTTTCATCACATTGTATTTTGTGAAACCAGAAATATATATTTTGTTTATTTCTTGATATTCGTTTTATAAATACATGATTTGAAATGTATAGTTGTATTTCCATATAAACCAGTGCAATTAGGTTTACCTTTATCGGTCAATGTTGCTTGCAAGTAACAATAGAACCTATACTTTATCTCGCAATGTTGCTTGCAAGCAACTAATTCTGAAGTCATTTTCCCAGGTTATTTTTAAACTTTTATAATATCTTATGTCATCTATAAGTCATAACTAATAACTTATGTCAATATTAGATTTTTTCAGTAAGGTGTCGCGCAAAGGCAGATACAGGGTTAAATGGACATAATGAAGTGATATGACCGAGGCCTTTTTATATTTGAAAATAAAAAGGTTCCAAAACCAGTTTTTACGGATATACAGGGCGATTTATTTAAACATGCCTTATCTTTAATACTGCATATCTCAAGCACAATTGAACTGATTTTGTTAAAATTTCGCATGAAAACAAATTTACCTGAGGGAATTTCAAAACTAAATGAACAGCTGAAAAGTCGCCGGATTTTTTTTCACTTTACAGTTTTTTTATCAAAATCAAACGTATTAAGCTGAATAGTAAGATGTTTGACTAAGCACAACAAAACCAAATGAATGGTGCTAATTAAGTAGCAGAACAACTTGTTTGTACCTCTTTTACTTTTTTAGTTAAACATTTTTATTTATTCAAATATCTTATTCTGGTAGCTTATTTGACACAAAGTTCTGATACAAATTGAAAGGAAAATAAGTGTTACGTACATTATTTACTTTTTTCGGTCATATTTGATTGATTTAATTCTACCGACTGAACTTGAGCTCTGCATAAAAACAAGAAAACGGCATTAAGTACGAGGCTTGTTTAATTGAAACACATCTTTGGTCCATAAAAAATGTTTAGACAAATATATCGATGAATAATTACCGCTACAATTAAGGCACATATACCGTTGTTTCACCAGTTGATGTATACCCGGCATAACAATCCTTGTGGCTGCTACTTGAAGAATTCTTTTACGGCATTTCGTACTTCTTCGTTCGACTGAAAATGCTTACCTTTTAACGCCTTTTAAGTGGCCCAAAGATGTGAATATCGCAAGGCAATACATCGGGACTATAGGGTGTATGCTCTAATATCCTCCATTTCTTTCGTTCTTGATTTTTTTTCACTATTCTGTCAACATAAGAATGACACAACGTGAGGGCTCCCTGGATGTTTTCGTCTTATTGCTTGATGGAGATTGTTCAAAGTTTCATTATACAGGTTCTCTTTGATATGGACTCTAGATTCTTCATAGTCGAAAAAAAATGTTTTCATCACCTTGCCTGCAGAAAGTTGATCTTTAAACTTATTTGGTGGGGGTGAATTTGCGTGTTTCCATTGTATCGATGACGGCTTACTGGGTGGTTCAAATATTGATGACACCATGATTCGTTGCCAGCAACTATTGACCGTTTTGCTTGTATTCCGTGAGCTGTAGCAGAAGTAAACCCATTCGCAAGCTTTTTTGGTTCTTTGACAAAAGAAGAGGAACCCATTGCTAACAAATTTTGCTCTAACATAGTTTGTGTCCGATACTATGGACAGGCCCTACACTCACACCTGCATTTTCCAAAAAATCCTCTAATTCAAATTCGACGATTTTCTCTAAGCATGCCTTCCACACATACCGCATTCCTTTTGAGGCAGAACTGAGTGCACCTGGTTGCGGCTTATCGTTCGTCTCCTCTCCTCCACTCTTAAATTTTCGAGACCGCTCCTTGACAGTTACGCGAAACATGCGTTTCCATACACTGCTTGCATTCGCGTATGAATTTGCAATGGTTTACAAACCTTCAGAACACAAAAATTAAATGACCGCACGCATATTATATTTGGACGAATCGTTAACCACAAACGTCATTTTTAAGTCAAAATGCTTGAAATCGCAGTCAAATACAAATGACAGGAACTGATCAGCGTGACGTTTACGAACAAGACTTAACACTGCTAAACGTCAGTTAAGTGATTAGAATGGTTTCCAAGGCTAACCAGACCAAAGTTGGGTTTCAGTTGAATAAACCTCGTAAATTTGACCTTCCATATCAACTTGAAACTAAAAATCTACAAGAAACGTAGTATGCAGGTCTGATGTACCACATATGCTCTAAATTTAACGTAGGGTGAGAGCATGTAAACGTAACTATGCTGAGTCCGGCAGGGTTATTACGTAAAAAACATACATAATGTCAAAGAATAAACACGATAAAATGTCAACTTAATGACTAGATAGCTGGAAGTGTGCAAACTGTACGAGTGAGCATGAAATAAAGACGACTAGTTCCTACTTGACATCTTGTAGGAAAACGTACATAATATCATAAAGAGTTTAAATAATGTAAAAAAAGACAACAATAATGTCACTTTCCAAGTTACGTACCAGTTTATTAGGTTTTGATGCATTCTTGTGATAATCTTGAATTGGTCTGCGGAGTCAAGTTCAGTGCATTTGCACATTAAAAGACATTTCACTTTAAAGCAGTTGGTTAAAATCATAAAAACTAAATAGGGTCCGTAAAATTGACTTTACCTTCTATTTATATCATGTATTGGTCCTTTTCTAGCAAAATAATAAATTCAGATTATAACTTCCAGAGCGTTGCACTTAATAGGATACAAGGAAAAAGCTCAATACGACCCTGGAATTTTGAGTTCACAAAACAGCTTAACTTCATTTTTAAGCATTAATCCGTGAAATCTCGATGGAACCAAGTGGACAACCCTTGAAATTTTGGGGTTTCTGTTACATAAACTGCTAAATAAGTAAAAATGTCTAACCAAAAAACCAAAAGAAGCGCCAACAATCCATTTTGCTAATTAAAAAGCACCATTGATTGGATTTTTTCTACACACTCAAACATCTCAAATTTAGCTCAAAAACTGTTTGGTTAAAGACAATCAAGTGGAAAAAATCGACTCTAACCCTTAATTTGTTAACGTCTGTCCAGCTGAACATTACTCCTAGATAACAACATTGTTATCGGACAGTTTCAGCAAAATTGGTTCAATACTGCCTGATATTAAAGATTTGTCGCGTCAGATAAGTCGTTGTATATCCGTAAAAACTGAATTTAGAAATTTTTTATTTTCAAATATAAAAAGTTCCATACTATCGACCATTTCACTGGGTTAATTTACGTACGGAACACCCTGCATTAACAAACATGGAATAATGTCGTGAGGTCTGCAGTTTGCATATAGGTGAAGGTACATTTGTCCCTTGGAGCTTTGTAGAAAATGGAAATGTTCTCTGTAAGGCTCACTCACGCCCGAGGCTCTTTCATCGCTATCTCTCCATCAGCAGCGTGTCTCCTTGGCGAGGTGTCAACGCGATACCCCGGTGATTAATGACTTCTCGGTCTTCGCATTAACCATTGACAGACCGCATTGTCGCCAGCTTTGGCATGCCGACATCGACACAGATATCTGAAACGTTTCAATTTCGGAGAGGCCACCAGATTCCTAAGAGGTGATGAAGCATCCAACACTGCTCTACAATATAAAGATTCGCCTCTCTTTAATTAGCTCGCGATCATACATAAAAATTGTTGTATGAATTACTGGAAATTGTTTATTCATTTTTTGTGGCAATGTTGAAAACACTGTTTTGGAAAGTTACACGTAATAATAATTCTTTTAACGTCCAGAGAGCGAAAAAAGAATGGCGTTAAGTAGGTTGACCCTGCACTTCCTATGCAATGTTGTCACCATTTCAACTAAAAAAAAACCGAACGAAGAGCATCATCCTCGATCAATGTTTTCGCTCTGTTGAGGAGCTTTTAAATTGCAATTTTTAGTGTTTTTTTTTGGAATTTTGTCTTATCTGCACTCCTTCTTTTATTGTAAATGTTGGACTTTCTGTCAGATTCGTAAGTTTTCAAATGAGTCTAAAATGACTATTTCTTCATCCAATTAGTAACACGGAATACAGCGGTGCCACAAGATGAAGACGTTATGTTCGTTGACGGCAAACAGCTTCTCTGTCTTCTGTCTACCTATTGCTCTATCTAACACTTTGTTCTATAATGTCCTCAATGGAAGTAATTATTATTATCTGACGTGTTGGATTGCTTAGCATAACTTAGTGCAGATGATACCAGTAAAAAAGTATATTCTTCTATGCAAGGATTCACTTTGTTAATGAAAAGATGGTTCTAATATATAACACATCTGCACTCCTTTTATGGTAAATTTTAGACTTTCTGTTACTCTATGAGTTCTCGTAAAATCAGCATATAGTCCAACAATGCGATCTGGCCTAGTCTACCGCCCGACCGATAGTACCGACCACCCAGCAACGCCACAATCCAGCACGGCATGGGTTTCTTAAAAATTGACGTTATGTCGATTTTTTAAATTTTTTTGTGTTTTTCTACAAGATATTAACTTAGCACCAGCTGATGAACACTTGTTGTGAACTGGTTTTGTTGTACGTGTTACCTAAACGTCATTATGCTTTATATATCAATGTTTGGCTCTGATGTAGGTAATGTAAAATCTGCTTCAGAGATGGTATACTATAGTTAGAAGGAAACGGCAATGCACAGGTGCATAGTGAGAATTTGTGTGCTAATAATACTTATGTGTTGATGATAATTCCATTCGATTCTCAAATTCACTTACTTGAGATTCAAAGCTAGAAATTAGTTGTGCATCCACTTTTTTTTTTCATTCTGAAAATTACATATGCAAATTTGCTGAATTTCAAAAATTAGAAAGATAGGAAAAGAAACGAAACAACATTTATGAAAGTGAAAAGGTTATTACATTAGTTTTTATTTCCAGTCATTTAAATTTCATAAAATTTATTTTGCTATGTCAGTAGAAAATACAAATCAGCACCTAGATGTGAGGCATTGCGAAAATGTTTGTTGTGTGGTGCGTCATTACTAATTGTGTGTTTTTGAAAAGACAACAA